CATATCTAATTATCTTTATATGATATGATGTATTAGTTTATTTAATTTTCAAAAAACATTATTTTAAATAAGAGAAGAACAAATTATCACACAGGTGTTAATTACATATAAATATCACTATATTTGCAAGCGCTTTCGACATTCTATAAAATGTCATTCTCAGGCAAACACAATCTGAAATAAAATTTTTGAATTAAAACTAATGACATTAGTCCTTTAGAACAAAACTAAACTTAGAACAAGTAAACATAAAGAATTTAAATTGACACATGCGTGGTGATAATGTGCATGCATCATAATGTGTTGAATGGGCACTGAGGAAGAGCTAGAGATGATGTTTTAATCTTTTATACAAGCTGACCCACATAGAAGGCAACTGAAGCATGGCGGAGTTGCATGGATTTAGTAAAATGGTAAGGAGGGCCTTCCAAACATACACCAGGCTCCTCTGATTGCAATACCTGAGCATCATTACACTGTCCCAAAGCAGGGTGTGTTGGTGTTGTAACACCATCCTTGCTAGCTCAGTGTCACACCTGCCTGCCCTGATGGAATGTTGGTATTCCGAGATGCGGCAAGATAATATTCTAGTTGTCGCTCGTACGTAGTGGGTGTGAATACCAGATGTGTTTTCCAGTGGGATAGAATATATTTCAGACTTCTCTAGTATGGAAGTAGCATCCCTTTCATTGCCTAGCAGCCTCCTGAGATTTGGTCACAGAGTGACTGACAGAAATAGCATGTGTTGTCTAAAAATATGGCAAATGCAGGCAGTGATGTGGCCACAGAATGATAATGAGGGACAGACAATTGTGCATTCCTTTGGGATGCATAAAGTGGTGGCGGGAAAAAGAGATCTTTTAACCTTGTTCAAGATATACTTATATTTGGAATTAGTATAACCCGCTGCATTTACTACTGAGCGAATGGCAGTAAATTCAATATTGATAACAGTTTGTGTGGAAGGCAACAGAAAGGTCCTTCTAATTAAAGGGGCTATAGCTGCATTGATGTAGTGCTGCAAATGGTATGCTGTGGCAGGCATTAGACGGGGTATGTTGTCAAATTTATGGAATACGGAGTACATTATACCTCCCTGGGACTTGGAGATGTTTAGAATTAAAAATGCAATTTTTTCCTCATTTTCTTTTTCCCAGGTAAAGTCGATAGTAGAGTAAACATTCATAAGAAAGTATTTGAGGATGAGGAAATCCTGGTCTTGCCAGGCTACGAGAATATTGTCTACGTATCTCAGATATATCAATGGGCAGTGGTGATAGCGGGTTCGCACAGGTTCGGCCGAACCCGTTGTTAACATTTTCAAAGTTTTCCGAACCCATTGTTAAACACACGTAACATTTCTCAGTGGTTTTGTTTCTTTTAAAAAATATATTAAAATATACGTATTATACTGTTTAACACTACTAAACTAGAGCCTTATACCCTGTTTGCCTGGTGCAACCTCCATCGACCGTTTCAATCGCGATCGACTCGAGNCAGACTTGACGATCGAAGAACCCCCCCTAGAACACCAAAAATATGGAGTTGTTATTCTCTTGTTTAGAAGAATAATTTAATTTACTTTCATTTTTTTTTATAGATTAAGTTGCTCACAAAATATATTATTATATCTTAAATTCTGGGTGAGTCAATTGTTTTCAGTTACAGTTCAATATTAAATGAAAGCTGTATAAATTTAAACTGTAAGACCTTGACTGGACAATGTGAATGGAAGGGACATAAATGTGAATGTATGAGCTTGGGTTGAAGGATGACTCGTTTTTGCATAATGAAACCATTTATTGAGTTTGAGATGTTCTCATTGGGTACAATATTCGATTAGAAACACAATTTTTACAATAGTTCTGGCATCCAGTTCAACAGGAAATTAGTCATCCACCTGGAAAAGCTCAGAATATAGCAATTTGCAGTAAAGTTTGTCAGATGACTCACAAATAATCTGTCAAGAAGGGACATACAACTCATTTTGAAGAAAGTGTGGTGAAGATGGAAATGTTGATGATAATGGCAAAATCTTGAAATATCCAAAGAAACACACAACAGAGAAAACTAAATTGGCCTACAAAGGAGCATTTGATAGAACTCTTTAATTTAAATGAAAAGACACCCCTTGTCCTTGAGACGTGGACTGTCTTTTTGTTTAAATGATCTAAGAAAATCTAAACAATCCCGTGCCCTTGAGACATGATTTTATAGATTTGGTCCCATGTCTAACATTACAGTTGGTCTTGAATAAGCTTCATGACTCAATTGGCCTTGCATCTGTTTCTAAGTGAAATTAGAGACTATCTCAGTCATGCAAAATCATCAATGTTGATAATTTGACAATGCTAAATTCAATTCCAGTCATAGATGTTTGTTGATCTGGGATCTTCATTATTTTGGATCAGACAATGCAAACCTCTTCCTGACAGTTATTATTTCAAAGTTCAAAGTTACTCATAATTTCTGATTGTAAACAAATTAAAAATATTATTTTATAATATTATTAGAGGAATGGATTTAAGTGAGTGTTTAGACTATGTGCTGGACCTCACAACTGTAAAATTCAGTATTATTTTAAACATGACAGAGGTACTATTAGATTGTGATAGTTTAAACATTTGAACATAGAATGAAATTATGTTTGAATGTTGAAATTGTTCCATTTACATAGTTAATAATGGCTTCAAGAAAGCCAAAAACATTTCTGTAAAGTTTGCCTTAGTCTAGCAGTAGCTTTTATTAATTTATTTTGTTTAATTAGCTTAAAATATGTGCATTTTTGAACATTTCTCTATAGTATATAATACATGGTATCTCCATTTTCTTCTTCTTCTTTATCTTCATCTTTTCCCATGTTTATATTCGGTTGGCATTTCCTTCTCTAATACGTTCTCTCCATTTCTTCCTATCAAGGACTTCTTCCCTTTAAAGTCCCACTGATTCAAGTCTTCCTCCACCTTATCTTTCCAAAGCAGCTTTGGTCTTCCTCTTTTTTTACTACCAGTTTTCCAACTTTCCAACATAATCTTCACTTCTTTGCTCTATGTGTTCAACCATCTCAACCTACATTCTTGCATCTTCCTCTCAAGAGACCCACCTTAACAGAACCTCTAATAAAATCGTTCCTTATTTTATCCTTTCTTTACACTCCACACATCCATCTCAACATGCTCATCTCTGCCACTGCCATCTTTCTTTCTTGGGCTCTTGTAATTGCACATGACTCAGCCCCCTATAACATTGCAGGTCTAACAACCGATTTGTACAATTTGGATCAGATAACAACTGAAGAAGGTAATCTAAGTTAAAATAGTTATAATATAGTTTGTTATTTTCAAATGGAAAATTAAAATGAAAGAAAGTAGCTTAAATGAATTAATATTTCTTTATTTGTGTGCATTCTTAATATTAACATATATTTCTGAATTGCATTTTCATGTGGCTATGTGAAGTAAATGTCATAATTGAATTTCTTAGAACACCAAAAATCATCTCTTAATTTGAAAACCACATTTTTTTAGATCAATGTAATGTAGTAAAAGCATTTTTCTTCTTAGTTGTAAATCCTTAACTAAGATTTACATTCTTCCATTTTCCTAATAATTTATTTTGTTTTAATTTTTAACGAGATAACAATCTACGATATAGCAATTAAACCAAATGACACGTTAATTATTTTGATGCGCCGTCATTCCCTACTAAAATTTTATGCTTCACGTTATATCCGTGTTCTCTAAATCTCGAAGCATTGCGTTTTCCTAAACTTTCATGTAAAGCAGGTTTAATGGGTATAAAGTAATCATCATCGTCGTCATCAGAATCAGTTAATTCTATTTTATAACGAATGAAAGGTAATTTTTTGGGAGGAGACTCTGGAGTAAATTGTTTTTTCTTTGGACGATGCGCTCTGGGATAATATACAGTTCCTTCCTGTTATAATAAAATGTATTCAGAATCTTTATAGTAGACTATATCAACGAATAAGAATAATGGATGTAGACTATTACTTACATCTTCAGATTCAGTTGTGCCTTCTGTGCCGTATTTGCCCTATTAAATTTAAATGTTTAAGATTTTTTTACATTTGTAAGATTATATACATGTGCATTATGCATACATGCTACTTAAACAATAAAGATCTTACATCGGGAGAATCATCAATGTTGATTGTAGTTCTAACTGACAGCTGCGATGGAGTTTTATGAGGCTAAAATATTTCGTAATAAAAGTTTAATTTATATATTTATAACATAATCCTAAACAAAAATTAGTTTTTCTTACAGTGAAATCTTCAAAATCTTTTTCTTCCATTGGCTCGAATTTAACATTTGGTTTTGACTGCAAAAAAATAAATAAATATAGAAATCGNTAAGGTAGTAGGTTGAGTGGGTCCTTTTGTTAACCAGCAGCCTCAGTGGCCAGCTCTATTTAAAGAATAGCCTGGGACATGCTACATTGGACGGAGGTTCCATGTGCCTGGGAAAAAGAGCAGATATACTCGATAGAGATACTATTTTCTTAGTCTTTCTTAAAACAGTAGGAGTTGGATCAACCTGTAAGACTACTGCATGGGATTGGCTATGGAAGTCCATGACTCTGGTTAGAAAATTTTCTTCCCTGCATAAGACAAACTTCTTCTTCTTGTTCGAGATCCGTAGCCTTAAGAAGTGGGTCATCGCCAAGTACCGCCTTAAGAGTTGGCTGTTGAAGGAGTTTTTGTTGTCACCCATGGATTGCTTTTGAGATGCAATCATTGAAATGATGGAAAGTTCCATATCTGGGAATTTGGTGGCCACTTGACAATTCTTGAGCACCGCTAGGACCTGTGGGACCGCATCTGTGGCACCAGTATCACATTGTGGGGGATATACTTAGGTCCCCTTTGTATGATCATTTTAAATGTTAGAACATTCCAATATTTGAATTCTCAGTAAACCATACAATTTGAAAGTGTAGAATCTGAAATGGATCCATAAAATAGGAAGAAAATATTTGTTTCCAATAAAGTTTTCTGGAAAATGTATGGAAGGTGTGGTGTGGTATTGATTAATGTTTAAGATAAGTTTTAGCTTTAAATGACACATTGCTTAAACAATAACAGTTTTGATACTCACTGTGTACTAATCTTATTAAAATTTAGATGATAATGGATAAGTAAACTAATGTCATTGCACTGTTAAAGCAAAGACGTCATTTGTTTGAATGCTATATTTTTTATCTATGATGCCTCAATGTAAACATTGTCATTATGTCAGTATGTTATTAGGCATGGTGGTATTTTTAACATTTATAAACAATATACTTTATTTGTAGCATAATATAAATATTCATATATAGGTAATAATTAAAAATAATGAAAGGACTTCAAACCATTTTCATACATAGTTAAGAATTTTATTTTGATTATTTAATTAGCTTCATTAAAATTCTTGTAATGAAAAAAGTGTAATAAAGTTTGATATAATTTATATATATCATATTTAAAGTTTATTTAAAGTAAAACATACAATTAATTTTTTAATTACTAAATTTATTAAAATTAAACAACAACCAAAATATAATAATTTTTTTTAACATTATAAAGCCTATAAAACTTGTTCTGCTTCTCATCTAAATATATTTTTCAGTGCTTGATAATATTGTAACTTCAGTTGAAAATAAAGTTACTGCTAATGAAGGTAAAATAATACTACTTTTATAGTTACAATTTAGAAATTCTTAATTAATAATTTAAATTTTGAGTTTTATTTCATAAAACTTTATTAATTTATGAACTACATTTATATGCATATATATATTTTAGTGTTGGAAAATATTGTTAATTTAGTTGAAAATCAAATAACAGCTACTGAAGGTATTTAAATAATTTTATAATGATTTTATTAATAATTATGCTTTAATTTAATAAATATTGCTTTTGTTTTTAAGTGTTAGAAAATATTGTTAATTCAGCTGAAGATCAGATAACAACTGAAGAAGGTAATCTAAGTTAAAATAGTTATAATATAGTTTGTTATTTTCAAATGGAAAATTAAAATGAAAGAAAGTAGCTTAAATGAATTAATATTTCTTTATTTGTGTGCATTCTTAATATTAACATATATTTCTGAATTGCATTTTCATGTGGCTATGTGAAGTAAATGTCATAATTGAATTTCTTAGAACACCAAAAATCATCTCTTAATTTGAAAACCACATTTTTTTAGATCAATGTAATGTAGTAAAAGCATTTTTCTTCTTAGTTGTAAATCCTTAACTAAGATTTACATTCTTCCATTTTCCTAATAATTTATTTTGTTTTAATTTATTAAAATTCATCAATATATTATTTCATATTTGTTCTTTTTTTAAAGTTATACATTTAATGTTAATTCTGGGATTAGGTATATTATGAATAGATTTTATATTTTCTTCTTTGTTGTTTGGCATTTTATTAACAAATGCTAGAAAGTCTAATAGTTCTTTGTTATTCTTATCTATCATAATATTTGTAAAATCGTAAATTATTAATTTATTATTATTAATAACATTGTTCATAGCATCAAGTCTAAATTGCATTTGTTCTTTGTAAGTACCCAGTTTAGTCGACTCTAATTCAATTTTTTTGTATTTTTCATTCACTAATTGTAGTTGTTTTTTAATTCTATAATTTTGGTGTGAATATTTAATTTCATCATGAATAAGTGTAAATTGGTTATCTGTCTTTTGATTGCTAGCAGTAATAAGTTCAACTGTCTTTAGCCATAACTCTGCAGTTGAGATGTCAGATGTCTCTGGATTAGTTGACTCGGTTAAACTATTAGATTTAAAATTCTCACCTGATGTATTTGGAGAAACTGTTCTTCTTGTTTCTGTATAGTCAGTTATAAGATTTGTTTCGGATCCAGATGATTTTGCATAGTTAGATAGTTGATTTGAACGATTTGTAGGTGGTCTTCCTCTTTTTGTAGGTGTTTTCTGCAGAGGTCCAGGGTTAGATTCTATGCCAGACATTAGCAATAGTAGCAAAATCAGTTTATAATTAATTATTATAGTGAACAAATAAAAATATTTTATGGAAATTAACAAGAAAAAAATGCCTTTGATGAAGCAGAGAGAAAAAGTCACCAACAGACTTGACGATCGAAGAACCCCCCCTAGAACACCAAAAATATGGAGTTGTTATTCTCTTGTTTAGAAGAATAATTTAATTTACTTTCATTTTTTTTTATAGATTAAGTTGCTCACAAAATATATTATTATATCTTAAATTCTGGGTGAGTCAATTGTTTTCAGTTACAGTTCAATATTAAATGAAAGCTGTATAAATTTAAACTGTAAGACCTTGACTGGACAATGTGAATGGAAGGGACATAAATGTGAATGTATGAGCTTGGGTTGAAGGATGACTCGTTTTTGCATAATGAAACCATTTATTGAGTTTGAGATGTTCTCATTGGGTACAATATTCGATTAGAAACACAATTTTTACAATAGTTCTGGCATCCAGTTCAACAGGAAATTAGTCATCCACCTGGAAAAGCTCAGAATATAGCAATTTGCAGTAAAGTTTGTCAGATGACTCACAAATAATCTGTCAAGAAGGGACATACAACTCATTTTGAAGAAAGTGTGGTGAAGATGGAAATGTTGATGATAATGGCAAAATCTTGAAATATCCAAAGAAACACACAACAGAGAAAACTAAATTGGCCTACAAAGGAGCATTTGATAGAACTCTTTAATTTAAATGAAAAGACACCCCTTGTCCTTGAGACGTGGACTGTCTTTTTGTTTAAATGATCTAAGAAAATCTAAACAATCCCGTGCCCTTGAGACATGATTTTATAGATTTGGTCCCATGTCTAACATTACAGTTGGTCTTGAATAAGCTTCATGACTCAATTGGCCTTGCATCTGTTTCTAAGTGAAATTAGAGACTATCTCAGTCATGCAAAATCATCAATGTTGATAATTTGACAATGCTAAATTCAATTCCAGTCATAGATGTTTGTTGATCTGGGATCTTCATTATTTTGGATCAGACAATGCAAACCTCTTCCTGACAGTTATTATTTCAAAGTTCAAAGTTACTCATAATTTCTGATTGTAAACAAATTAAAAATATTATTTTATAATATTATTAGAGGAATGGATTTAAGTGAGTGTTTAGACTATGTGCTGGACCTCACAACTGTAAAATTCAGTATTATTTTAAACATGACAGAGGTACTATTAGATTGTGATAGTTTAAACATTTGAACATAGAATGAAATTATGTTTGAATGTTGAAATTGTTCCATTTACATAGTTAATAATGGCTTCAAGAAAGCCAAAAACATTTCTGTAAAGTTTGCCTTAGTCTAGCAGTAGCTTTTATTAATTTATTTTGTTTAATTAGCTTAAAATATGTGCATTTTTGAACATTTCTCTATAGTATATAATACATGGTATCTCCATTTTCTTCTTCTTCTTTATCTTCATCTTTTCCCATGTTTATATTCGGTTGGCATTTCCTTCTCTAATACGTTCTCTCCATTTCTTCCTATCAAGGACTTCTTCCCTTTAAAGTCCCACTGATTCAAGTCTTCCTCCACCTTATCTTTCCAAAGCAGCTTTGGTCTTCCTCTTTTTTTACTACCAGTTTTCCAACTTTCCAACATAATCTTCACTTCTTTGCTCTATGTGTTCAACCATCTCAACCTACATTCTTGCATCTTCCTCTCAAGAGACCCACCTTAACAGAACCTCTAATAAAATCGTTCCTTATTTTATCCTTTCTTTACACTCCACACATCCATCTCAACATGCTCATCTCTGCCACTGCCATCTTTCTTTCTTGGGCTCTTGTAATTGCACATGACTCAGCCCCCTATAACATTGCAGGTCTAACAACCGATTTGTACAATTTGTACAATAAATCTTCCTTCATTTCCCTGTGCCTTTCCATCAGCTGTTTCAATGCAAAGATAGCATCAGTCATACTCCTTCCCAGTAGAAAGCCAAACTGTTTCTCTCCAATCTCAGTTTCCTGCCTAATCCTTCTATCTACAATTTTCTCCCAAATCTTTATAGTATAGGAAAATAACTCTATACCTATGTAGTTTCTGCAATCCTGTACATCCCCTTTCCCTTTAAAGACCAGCACAAGAATATTCTTCCTCCATTTATCTGGAATCTTCTCCTATTGCCAAAGTTTCTTCATAAGGTCCGAGAGAATATCAATCCCCTCTTTACCCAACCCTCTCCAAGCCTCAATCGGAATCTGATCAGCACCTACTGATTTCTCCATCTTCATTTCTCTAAGCACCCTTTTCACTTTTTCTATACTAATATCTTGCAACACTCCTTCATTTGCCTCTGCATCCTTGTATGTAGTTCTGGGGTTTTCTTAGTTCAATAAGTCCCTAAAATACACTTTCCATCTTTTCTTGACCCTTTCATAATCTTGTAATACTACTACTTTATCATCTTTAATCAGTTTAATAGAGGAAAAATCTTTTGATGTCTTATCTCTTGCTTTGGCAATTCTCATCAGCTGCCTTTCTTCATCTTTTCTTTCAAAAACTTTATATGCCTCTTTTAAAGCCTTTGCAATAGCCACCACCTTTTTAATCATTTTATTTGCCAAATGGTAAGTTTCGTTATCTTCAGGCCTTCCCCTCGGATCTCACATTTTCATTGCCTCTTTCTTTTGTTTAACTGCAGATTGTACCTCAGCATTCCACCACCAAAGTTCCTTTCCTTTTGATGACCTCTTCCCCAAAGTTTTTCCCAAAACCTCTTATACTTTCAAAATGCAATTACTATTCAGCAGCCACCATGTTTGCACATCATTCGGGAACTGAATTTCTTTTAGCACTTACCTTAAACTCTTTTTTCAATTTCTCTTCTTTCAATCTCCACCGTTTAATCCTTTGTTCAATCCAGCTAACACAATTCATACAATGGCCCATAAGCAAGTCACAATTCACCAGAAGAACTCTATGTTGTGCAGGAACACTTTCTCCATTTAACACATTACTGTTTCTCATTTCACTAAGATGTCTCCTGTAGCACAAGAAAAAATCAATCTGGCTGGATATACCCCCACTCATATTTGTAATCAGCTGATTCACTTTCTTTTCAAAGTAGGTGTTAACTAATGCAAGGTCAAAAGCCACAGCATGATCGACTAGTCTTTCTCTTTCTCCATTCCTTTCTCCTGTTCTCCACTTCCCAAGAACTCTTCTTTCCACTTTCTTCCTCTTCAGATCACCCCCACAGATTAACATTTCATTCACAGGAACATGCATTATAATGATATCTCAATCTTATAATATAATCAAGACGGGTTGATAATGATAATAATAATAATAAGAACAGAGCCCAAACAGTTAGGCGTTGAAAGTTGAAATTTGGTACACAGTTAGCATATGTCAGGAGAACGTACATTAATTTAAGAAGAGATTTTTTGAAATTCCCGCCCCCTGTGGGGATAGGGACAGGATTAAGGTTTACCATGAAAAACTTGGCTTCTATTATACTATTTTAGATGCGAGTTTTTGCGTTTTTGATTGCATTTTAATAGGGTATGCCATGAGAATGCACATTAAGAAGGGATTTTTCGAAATTCCCACCACGGGGGGAGAGAGAGAGAAGGTTAAGGATTACCTCAAAGAACTCGGCTTCTACTGTACTATTTTAGATGTCTTTTTTGCATTTATGTGGGAAATCGAACATATTTTTAGACCCTTCTAAAAATTCTCAATGATATTTAGTGTTTCATCATATATAAAGTTGACACGGGGAGCGCATGCATATAAGTTTGCTTTATTCAAACTCTTTGTCTTAATGTTCAATTTTATGTTCGAATTTATATTTATGAGTGATTCGGGAAGATCCAGCTTATTTTTTAAATTTAGTAAACCTGAAGAAGAACCCAGAAGGGGTTACAAAAACATTTGTTATTCATCATTTAGTGGTACTATGCACCAGTTAGTGGTTGCTGTGAATCTTAATTATCATCATCCTGGTGTGGTAAGCAGATATATAGAAATTTTCTAATTAGTCTTGGAAGAGAGGGACCTAATTCTTGCACTTGGTGAAAATAGGTAAGATCAGCCATAATCTAATAATCTTAATTTTTGATAGCATTACTTTTTGTCTGAGCAACGACAGGCTCATCTGCTAGTATATATAATAACATACACAATACTTTGTATCTCAGTGTATATAAATAAAAATGTAAATGTTCGTTTGTTCAAAATCTTAAATCTCCAAAAGTTCTTAACCGATTGCTTTGAAATTTTGACACAACGTTGTATTTTAATACATGCATATTTTTATATTGTATAGATGTCAAAATTCCCCTCCCTCGCGGGAGAGGGACAAAATTAAGGCTTACCGTGAAGAATTGGTCTTCTATTATTCTGTTCTAGATGCGGTTTTTTGTATTTTTGATTGTTTTAATAGGGTACATCAAGAGAATGTACACTAAGAAGAGATTTTTCAAAATTCCCCACATGGGGAGTGTTATACGTTTATAATAGAAACATTTTGAGCCACAGCAACGCATGGCCAGATCCAGCTAGTCTATATATAAATGGACATGTTTGTGCCTACACATCACTCTGCAGCAGCCAAAACTACACATCGCACATGAATGGTGTTTGTGTGTGGTAGTAGCCTCGAGTCTCCCATTGTGTACTATGGTGGTTGCATCTTGATAGCTGTAAGGGTATGAGAGATATGGGGTTTGAAAGTGGTTGACTTCGAAAATGTGTGACGCTTCAATGAGAATGTTCCAGTTTTTTCTGGAAAGTTCCAGAACGTAGAGGTGAAATTTGGTACACAGTTAGGGTACATCATGAAAACACACACTAAGAAGGGATTTTTCAAAATTCCCCCGCAGGGGGAGAGGGAGAACATTAAGGCTTAACTTGAAGAACGGCTTCTACTGTACCATTTTAGATGTGAATTTTTTTGTTTTTAATTACGTTTAGTCTTCGTTGAGTACTTAGGGGTATTAAATTGATAACATTTCAGACATTGTTATAAATATTTTTTATATATTTCGATTTTTTAACCAAATGTTTGAACCGTTTTAAATTTGAATTCTTTTTTGCATATTGGTTCGATTATAGAACGATTGTAAATGTTCCAGAAAATTTATCAAATTAAAAACAGTTCATTTGATTCTCGGCAATTCTCATCATTCTCTGTGGTTGGTGTTAAATAACAATTACTATGGTTGTTGAAATATTGAATGTAAATAGGGTTTGCTTGCAAAATCCACACGAGCGAAGCCACGGGTAACAGCTAGTATATTATAAAAATTTACTTCAGTGTTGGTTTTCCTGTTTAAAGTAAAGCTAAACAATTTTGTAAAATATCAATTTCTAAACTAATAATAAATTATAATTTTTTTTTTACATTAAACAAAATAAATTTAATATAATGGAGAAAGATGTAGTGTTGTTCTTATTTTTAACCAAACAAATTTTGTTTATTAAAATCAAATGATTGCCAGATTACATTGGACTATATTACTGCTATTATTAATAATTAAATGCTCAGTTGGCTCCAGTTGGCATCATAAGTAATCAGTAAGGTTATATCTAAATTACAAGTTATGGAAACAAAGATCAGATAGAGGTGTTGGTAGTGTAACTGGCAACTTATCCATATATTAAGCAGCAGTTGCAGGTTACAGTACCACTCTGAACTGATTCTTTTCTTCTAGAAACTTCTAAATTAATTAATAAATATTAATTAATTTTAATGATTACCTCGTACTTTGCATTTAATTATTAAAGCAGCATTGATATAGCCTGATCTAAACTGGCAATCATCTATATATATAAAAATGAATGTATGTGTGTCTGTCTTATGTCCTTCATGCATTACCACGCCATTTATCCGATTGTCGTGAAACTTTGGGAAGTTGTTTAATATACTCCCGCGCAGGTTTCTGGCATAGTACGATTGGCACGAAGCTTTGGGAAGTTTTTTAATACACTCCCGCGAAGGTTTCTGGCATTTATCCTACGATAAATGGCACGCGTTTACGCGAGCATTTAAGCACAGTGTGTTCGATCGATTTCAAATTGTGAAGACCATTTTTCCCCTTCAAAAAATATCTCTATATATACATTTGTGAACTGTTATTTACGATATTTGTAATAATTTTTGTTTAATTACTTTATTTCAACTTTTTTTTGCTAATTATGTATTCGCTTGAACTTCGTTAAAACCTTAACTGTACCCCGAACAACAACCGAAGTTGTAGGAAGAAATTCGCGTATTTTACCGATCTAGGTATCCCCCCTTTTCCAAATTTTAATATCGACTCAAAATAATTTAAGAAGACAAATTACAATAAAATGGTTTATTATTCAACCTTCAGAAATTTCACAACGTGCCAAGGCAGAGAGGAAGGAGCAATTAAATAATTAAAATTGTAAAGGATTAAAAATATATATATAAAAATGGAGAATATTGCGCTTCTGACAATTGCTGTGAGTGTGTGAGTTAAATTTGGAGAATGCGTGCTTCTTGCGTGGACAACTGTATGTGGCCAGCTCACGCTTCGGAAAACCTTCTGATTTATTCGTGTATGCAAAAGACGGAAAAACAAAAAATATCGTGTATCCACAAGCACTCCAATAAATAAATAGAACTGAAACGACACGTTGAAATGTTTTTCCGATGAAAATGAATAATAATAATAAGTTTCAATAAAAATAATAAAATGTAAATTGAATTTTATCATAACAAGTTTGCTTGAATTTCGTTTCTTCTGAGATCGCAGCAATGCGCGACGGGTAAGCTAGTTTACTATAAATATTGGGCTTATGTATGTTTAAAGTTTGTTTATTATGATAATTTCAATTGAATAATAAAATTTTACTTAGATAATAAAAATTATTAATTTTATGGTTAACTAGTTACAAAATTTTGTAATTTAACTAATGTAGTAGTTTGGAAAAAGTAGAACAACAATATTGGTAGATAAAGTTTTTGCACCTGTAGAAGGATATATTGAAATTTCTGTGATGCTGATTTGAATTAAGGCAGAGAAAGCTGTCTAGATGGAAATTACATAAAAATTTTCCAATTTTATTTAACAAAAAAAATGATAGAATATTTTTAATGTAAAATAGAAATGTCAGGGATTCTTCATTAGATAATGTGATGCTTAATTAGAATTTTTAAATCATAAATTTTAATATGATTAAATATTTTTACTTTTTTTTAGTGATAGAAAATATTGTTAACACAGTCGAAGATAAAGAAATGGCAACAGAAGGTAATTATGGAATAAATATAATAATCATACTTAATTATTCATTAATTTATAAGCAAGCATTATTATGAGGGGTATCAAAAAAAGAATAAGATGGCAACTTTAGTGAAGTAATGATGCGATGTTTGTTAAAATGTCCATTGTAATTAAAAAGTCTTCTGATTTGGTGTGGTGAAAAATGTTGATTACTGATTATCTTTTCAACAAAAAGTTGTGTGAAGGTGATATTATATCCACTTTTGACTCTGTTTGTAATGGCTACAATAAGAGAAGAATAGTATGCTGAGTTAAAATTCTGTTATTGCCTTAAAAAAACAGTCACTGAATCATACAAAATGTTGAAGGAGGCACTTAATGAAAATGTTTCATTATTTGCAACAGCATTTAGGTGGTTTAAAGAGTTGATATGAAATTTCAACAGAGGACAGTAGGATGACTATCATTGGATGGAATTTTCATTTTTAACTATTTTAGCAAAGACTTCCAACATCATTTCAGTGCAAAATTATAGATTAATAATCAGTCTAATAAAATACAATGTCATTGTCAATGTTTGCAGTACGTAAACAATTTGTACCTTGTATTGCCATCATATTTTTATTTAAACATATTTTGTGATTTGTTTGGCTGAAATTATTAAACTGATGGTTTGTTCATAGCAATAAACAGAGAAACAAATATTGTAACTTGTATTTAGAACTTGGAAACAAACGAAACTAAATATATAGAATGGTATGCTTTAGACTGGTGACCATCAATTTTTTTATATATAATTCTTTTTGTTGCTTATTTTCTTCTGTATAACAATTTATAATTATATGTACTTGATTTTTGTTCATATAAGAACCTCTATATCAAAATTGGGACATTTGAAGTTTTTGATATTTGTAACTGCATCCTCTTAGGTATTCCCTAACTAGACTGTAGTTTTTTAAAATGGAACTTTGGAATAAGTAACTTATATTCTATAAGACAAGAAATATAGTAAATTAAAATTTTTATTTCAAGATTTAAAAAATTAGTTTTGTTTTGAATATATAGTTATCTATTGTGAGCTTATGCAAAGAGGCATCACTTAGATCAGCGATTCCCAACCTGTGGTACACGTACCCCTAGGGGTACGCGATAGGTTGTTTAGGGGTACAGAAAAAAGTTAGTTATTATGGCAGAAAAAATAATATATTATGTATCACAAACTAATAGTATTAAAAAATTATTAGGTAAAATATGTTCCTTGCAACAATCACAACTTCATTATACATTTTTTCTTTTAGGTTTTTTTTCTTTAATTTAAAGTTACAATATGTAAAATTAACAATACGGTTACTCACTAAATTTCTTAAATGAGGGGTACAATCTAGAGATATGACATGTCAAGGGGTACAATCTAGAAATATGACATGTCACGGGGTACGCTAATGAAAAAAGGTTGGGAACCACTGACTTAGATCAATTGAATGAAGTTTAGTGGCTTCTTTATCTACAGTAGTACCTCAGGATATGAACGCTCCAGCATACGAAATTTTCAGGATACGACATGAAATTCGAACATATTTTTGCTCCACAGTACAAACAAAAACTCACCATACGAAGTTACATTAGTTTGCAGTGCCATTTTTTATTCACTTCTGTTCATCAGTCTCAGTCTGTGTGTTTGCTTCATCATGGAAGGATCTCGCTCGATGAAGGAAATCTTGAGGTATTATCAGAAAGTGACTGATTTTATTGAAAAGAAACATCCTGAAAAAGTTCACACTGGCTGTATTGCTGCTCAGAGTAATTTGCCTAAGTCATTTTAGAAACATTTTAAAAGGTAGGCAAAGCCAAACCTCTTTGTATAGATATTTTACCAAGCAACCTCTATCTAGTGAAAATTCTGGTGGAAGTGAAGGAAAGAAAGCAAAAAGCAGTGAATAAAAAATTAAAAAACAAAATATAAAACAGAAAAGTTAAAAAATTAGTGTTAAATTATTTTTAAGCTATTGTTACATTATGTTATGTAAGTTAAGTTTTAGTATCATTTCCCTTCTCTCTCTCCTCGCCACCAGTTTACATCTCCACTGTTGTCTATCCTCAAAAGTAAAGTGCCAATAAAACTACATTTTTTTAATCAATTATTATTCTATTACGGTTATTTATACATTTACAACTACAAAACACATTTTTCAGTGTTTTCCTTACTAAAGTTATTTTTTTTCAATGTACTACTTAGCTTTAATTTGAGTGTGTTTTTCGTGTTGGAACAGATTATTTGATTTTACATGTAATCGTATGGGGAAAAATGGTTCACCTTAAGACATTTTCATGATACGATCTCAGTTTAGGAACGGATTAATTTCGTATCCTGAGGTACTACTGTATATCTATTTTAAAGATATTTCTGACATGATCAGATATATTGGACATAAAGTGTTAACAGATCTTTGGTTAAATAAAGATGCTTAAAAGAAAGTATTAAATTAATACATATACTATATCTAAAACATTTTAAATGTTAAACTTAAGTTTTAATTTTTATTCATAATATTTTCAGTTAAATAAGTCTTACATATTTTTATATATGAATACGTTCATATTTGAACTTTTTAAAAAATCATTAATTATCTGAGGTTTTTTAATCAATAAGTGCTTAGACTAAATTTGGTCTGTGCTATTATTTTATTCAATTTTTAAAATATTTTAAAAAATATGATTTGTCTTCCTGTAATTTTTTTAGTAATAAAAAAATAATGCTTATTATAATTAATTATGAAAGAAATATGTATTTATAAATATATTGAAGATTTTAAAAATAGAATGTAATTTGTACTTTTTTTATTCAGTGTTAGAAAACATCGTTAAGTCAGTGGATGATTGTGTGACATCGTCTGAAGGTAATTTCAAACTTAACGCAATGTTAGAAGATTTTTTAATTTAATTTGGTTAATTATTAAATGTTTTGTAGTGCATATTAGCTTTAGTAAAAAATTTTTATATGACACATGATTTTTCAGTGGTAGAAAGTGTTATCAGTTCAGTTGAAAATGAAGTAATGGCTGCCAAAAGTAATTTTGAATTAAGTTCATTTGTAAAATTTCTGAATTAAATATTATTTTTAATTATATTTTAGAAATTAATTGATAAAATTATAAGTTAAGATAAAGAAAATTAAATTACATTTGAATCTTTAATTAAATCTTTCTAGCATTAGAAAATATAATTACTTCAGTAGAGGATCAAGTTACAACAGCAACAGGTCAGTTTTCAAGATTTGTATATATATTTTTAAAATTATTTATAATTTAATAAATAATTTAAAACTTTTTAATAAATAAAATTAAATAAATATTATTATTGATAAATTAAATTACAAGAATACATTAAAAAAGTCTGTAAGAAGCCAAATGATTGCTGGATTGTAATGGTAAAAAATGATAGTAATAAAGTAGCCAGATTAAATCAGGCTACTTTATCGCTATTATTTTAAATTAAATTTGAAATAATTTAGTACTAGAGGTCAGTGTTAGGAGCCCTCTCTTATTAAATTTAATAATTATAATTAAGATTAATTTTTTTGAAGACAATGTCCTTTCCAAAAAAATAGGAACCACCATTTATTAACTTTGTGTTCCAGACATTACACTTTTGGTGACTGACCTTTTTTTTTAGGCTACTGGCCGCCAAACAGTTCTTTAAAAAAACACAAAAATATCCAATTAAAAATATAAACGTTTTTAAAAAATAGGAACTGGTCTAGGAGATATACTAGGTGCACTAGGAGATACACTTTAAGCCTACAGTCGTCAGACGAGAATGAAAAATGACATGTTAACATTGTTTTCATGAAGTGCCAGGTTGGTGTTGTTCCCACTAAAGGGTGTATGATACTCTCATGGATATTAGTAAAATGATCGTACAAATTAGTGAGAGGCTAGAATTGAGAGAAACTTCATTTGAACTTTATAAGAAAAAGTAAGGCCAGTTATGATGAAAAGGATGTACTCAATATTGACTGTGTAGTTTTCTTTTGTTTTAAATATGTCTGTATGTAATAAAAAACTGCTCATCACTATCTATGAGATCCATGCTGACATAAATGCATCTGAAATGAAACCGATTACTGAAGCACTCCTTGAAAAATATTGCTCATCTAACAACTGCTTTTCTGTCTGTGCATTTTCATGCTCATCTGACATTAGCCTAAATGTGAAAAATGTGAAACTATTAAACATTAATTTCATAAACACTTAAGCAGATTCATTTACATTTTTTTTTTTTTCTGCACTTTGATGTCATTGTTGCAATCAAGATTT